AAAGGTAAAACTATAGAAGAATAAAGTACTCCTCAAACCCCATTAAGTTAAACTAGGTTTTTTTTTCATGCAAGCCGTGACTTTCCCTAAGTCTGTTAGAAATAATATCTTAGAAGATTGCGATGTATGGGGAATTGTAAAAATGAAGACTATCAAAGTCCTTTCAAGTTAAACTCTTGTCCATTTCCAATCTGACATGTCAAAGATCTGATACCATAAAAGTACACCGCCGCCGAAACATGTGTGACTGTCGTTTTGGATGACGAACTTGGGTTTACCCTTCAGAGCCGCGGCAGATGATATCTGTGGCGATTAAGATATTTCACAGTTAAGAGAAAGCATGGGACATGAGTTGAATGCATGTATTCGGGCAAAAGAGAAAGGTAATGGGCTTTGACATGCTCAAAACATATCATGCCATCAGAAGCAACACGTTAGCTCAACGAACCGCCACTGATACTGGTCATAGAACAAATAAAGTACCTCAATTGCTGCTAATGAATTAAATTTACCTTATTTCTACTTACGAGCACGGATTACTCACCATATCTGTGCGATGTTAACTTTTAAATTTCAGACTAAACATACAAGGTTTACAAGGGTGTCAGTGGAGTAGCACCATGTACATGCACTCAGGCCGTGGCCCAAGTAGACTGGAATTTCATGCAGTTAAGAGTAATTGTAAATTAATGCTTTGTTTGTGTGACTACCTGACGTTCGGCGGTCACTTTAGAATTTGTCTGGGCCCTGTACACGTGGGCTGGTCTTCGGGCCACGCTTAGGCCCCATTTGCCCTGTCGTCTTGGGAATACATGTATTCAACCTCACTCATGCCTTCTTCCACCCTATGAGAAGCCTCGGGAGGCCACACTGGTGGCAGTGGAAGGCGAACCCGACATTTTTACAACTTTTAGGTATAAAGTGGTTTAGAAGACCTTCTGCTCCAGTCGAGGTGGGTCTCTCTCTCTGCGGCTTGTTCTTCGTTGTTCGTTTGTTAAAGGCGACATAGTATCCTGGAAAATCTATTGTTCAACAGACATTGCTGTCTTACTGACATCTACGTTTGTGTTGCTAAACTTTGCCAGTTAATCGACTGGTTTCCGGAAGAGAACAGTACGGGCAAGCCGACGAGCAACGGTTCGATCGGATGATGCACTGGTTCAATACATGCAGATACCCCAAAATCGGGTTCCCTGGGCCGGAAAGTCGAAACCTCACTTTTCACGGCGAGAAGTTTATCATCCAACCAGCAGACGAGACTGCAAAGAAATTCTACTTTTTTCATGGAGAAATCCAAGATCAATAGGCGCATTTTGGCGTTGTGCTCCGGCATTCATGATCTATGCATGCACAGAGGAAGTCTGACCCTATCGAAGCGCAATTGATGAAGATACGGGCGAAAAGGGACGTGAATTGAGGGAGGCACACTCACCTTGGTGAAGAGGAATCCCTGAATCCTTCACAACGAATGGATTTAGAATGACGTTTGCATTTGATTTCACCCTATTCCCTGTTCCACAGACAAGCTATTAACAACTGAAGCGACATCGCCGTGAAATATCTATAAAAGTTTCGTGTCGGAATTTCCCATACAGGGACAGTGACTCATCCCGTTTTCCCTGTAACATATATGCTTTGCATCCGAGTTCCACTTTCTATTCCTGGAAGCAATTGACGGTCAACAGATGTATGCGGTCCCAAATCTGGTTGTAAGACCGAAAGTAACGCCGGATCCAGTTGAAACTAACGAGAGTACCAGGTACGGTTCCTCAGTCTCGTGTTGTCTGTCATTTGGCACGGTTGGCTCGTGGGTGCTTTCATATAGTATCGAATGTTGTTATGACTGGTGCGGGGGATGTACCAAAGGGGAGCGCCGAGGAGTTTGCTCAAAAGCAGGGATGAGCAGTGTGACTGACGTTTGGCGGTCACTTTAGAAGTTGTCTGGCCTCTGTACACGTGGGCTGGCCTTCAGGCCATACTCAGGCTCCATTTGCGCTGTCGTCTTTGGAATACATGTATTCAACCTAACTTATACCTTCTTCCACCCTATGGGGAACCTTGGGACGCTACAGCCCTTGGCCTGGATTAAATTAGCAGCCAAAATGCTTCAACTTTTTTGGAAAGTTAAGAGTCCATAATGGTTGTTCAATTCAAATTCTAAAATTGAACAACAACTGATTGTTTATCCAGAAGGTTCGCACTTTTAAATGGCGCAGCCCGTTTGTTATTATATAACTCTGTCAGCGCTTCAAAAGCCGCCTTTTTTCCTTGATTTGTACCGATTTACCAATATAATCATGTGACTACAAAAATTAATAATGATGAATGCAGTCCTAGTAACGACCTTTGTTATCATGGGACTTCGGGTTTAGACTGCATATTAGCCCACGAAAACTCATGAATAACCTTAAACTGATTTTTCTGGGACCAGCTGCTGTAAGTTCCCCGAATTTCCAACAAGACCCACTAGTCGGGGAAGTCCTATATTGCGAACTTCTTGTCTGATGCCGTCGAACAGGGGAATATTGAATACAGACCTACCAAAGGTGTTCGTATACTAGAATATGATCTAATGGCTAAACACGACACAAAAATGACCAAAGTTGAGCTACAATTGTGGGACACTAGTGGAAGTAAACGATACCAGAACTGCTGGCCAGTGATTTTCAAGGGGGCACATGGACTTGTACTGGTGTATAACGCTGACCAACCAAACCATGCTAATGAATTAGAGGAGTGGTAAGACCAACGTGTAAAAGCACATATCAGGTATGAAACTGCCATATCGCAATCGTTAGTAAAAGATTCTAACTGCTGCTTGATGCAACACGCTCTACCACAAACAACTGATAAGAACAACGTTGACCTTCGTAGGTACATTCTGCAAGTTGACTTGCTTTAGCTCAAAAACTTAGCAATCTCACAATTATTAAATCCCGACTCCCAAGTCATGGCGACTCCTTGAGGGAAGCGTTCTCAAAGTTTGTGGGTCGACTACTGAGTAATTTGTCAGAAGCCACGGAACAAGAGGAACTAACTATAATTAATTCGTAGCACTTTTGACTAAAAAAAATACGAAGAGGATAAACGGCACCTGAGCAAGAATCCTCAGAATTCCCATTACTCATTATATGAAACTGCAGAAATATTAACAAACAAAACCGTTGCTTTGTAAACGAAAGTAGAATCTAAGATTGTAGTTGTCCGTTCCGCGAGGAGGAAGGAAAATGGCACCGATCGACCCCCACATTTATTTACACTTGATGAAGTTGAAAAATCAATAAATAAAAGTAGTTTAGTCTGAAAGACCACGTAAGTTGAGGAACACTAAAACTAAGAACTGTGCGTTTCCTACTGAATTTCACTCCTTTGATAATCCAAGTGTTTGGGTGCTTGAGAGAACAGGCTCTTGTATTGAAATGCTTGGGCCAGAACCATTTCAATATCGGTGTTTGTCCATCGATGTGTAGGAAGCGCTTGAAGATACACCAGAAGGCCATGAAAGTCATTTCGACGCATCAGACTGTCTTTGAATCGCAAAAGGAAGGCAGCACACACATAAACGTGGAATTGGGAGAAGCCTTCTGGTTCTGCCTAAAAGAAGCATTGACGCTGCAGTTAACTTCGGCTTAAATACCCATCTAACCATGAGCACTACTATGGTACAGAACGAAACCCGATCATGATCCCAATTATGAGATGCCATTGCTCTTAGTCTTTCAAATTACCAATTGTATTGCGGGCACTCGCATTCGTCGATTCCGTGGGGAAAAGTGGTCTTCACATCATCATCAACGGAAAAAAATCTGGAATGTTTCATAGTAAATCATTACTCCTACTTGCACGCCTTAAGTAGCCACTGATGTGATGATGTGCTTGATTCAAAAAGGATAAAAAACTGCGGACACGCTTTGGTTGTAGGGATTAAACAAGTGAAATATTTAGGCACCAGTGCATGCACGTAGCGGCCAATCACTATTCTTAAAAAACCACTACCGTATGGTTATATCTCGCGTACCATGTACGTATCCCACAAGCGAATGATGCAACGCAGTGGAAGTTCCCGAATGAGGAGATTATTCATCCATCGAAAGGCGAATTGTAAGTATTCAACTTTATGCTCCATCAGATGGCGATGCAACTCGTTGTCAAGACGTTCGATGAGACTGCTCAATTTGTTTACGTTATTTTGAATACCGGGCTGTGCAAACGTATAGTTGTCCTGAATCGTATCAAGCAGCCTTGACACACACCAAAAAACATCGCCCTCTAAGTCCAGCAATTGCTCAGCTGTAATTGGTGTTGAAAACTTCAATTCTCCAGAAGAATTCATCTCTTCAAAGGGAACATATGGTAATGAAACAGAATAAATTAGCAGAACATAAATGTTAGTATTAGAAGTCTACAGTCGTACATTATGGTTTTGGTGACCGCTAAGGCTTGCAGATATTCGCAAATCGTACGAGATCTCTCTTGAGCAAAAAGTAACGAAAGACCTGCCCTTTACGAATTGATTGGAGCCTCCGTCAAAAAAAACCACCCATCTTGATAGAATATGCAGTATCGACAAGTGATAATGTAAGGTAAAAAATTCACTGCGTGTTTCAAAATACCGAGCAAATAATGGGATTCTACTTCTTCAAATTTTTGAAAAATTTCAGAAAAACGCTGTCAAATTAGCTTATATAAAAATCAGATAAGGACGGACAAGGAAACACACCAGTTTTAGTGTATTCGGAGAGAAACACAACCACGAATGGTGTGAGCAGATCGTTTATGCCTTGGACGTACCCGCTACCTGGATGTCTTACAGACCAATTAAAAAGGACCCGCTCGAATAGCTGAAAATGATGCAAGTTCACGAGAAATAATCATTCTTCAGCTAAGAAAATCAGTTTGATGTAAAAGAGGGATTTGGCATAAAATGACCGAAACTATTAAAATATTATTACAATTACAAGTGCAGATATAAAAATCAAGTGT